TATACATATATATGTACGTCTGCATGCACACATGTACCTACATATGTGAGAATTGAGAACAAAGCAATTCAAATCGCTGCAGTACAAACAAAAAGGCAAAAAATGTGAGAACAAAGGCCCCAGAAAGGTAATAAAAGAAAACAAAAATGTAAACGAGAAATAAGGCAAATTCTGAGAGGAGAAAGCAAAAATTAAATTGTAAATCTATTCAAATTTAAAAAATTTATAACTTTATGATATGTTAATATTGAATTTAAAAGTTGTATCTTTATGATTCGTACATCTTTTAAATTTAAAAAATATTCTCAAGATGGATAAGGTAGGAAAATCTGTAAGTAAATCATATATTTTCAAGATACTTAAGGTAGGAAAATCATTATCTGTATGATATGACATTGACAAAGACATACATAAATCTACATTATGTGACGACAAATTCTCCAAATAATCACACAAATATAAAACCGTCCCAGACATCATGGCGTATGCGTAATATGAATCATACGCCGCGTATACGCACCACGCACCAATACACACACACGCGTAATGTCTGCAGCAAAATATGTAGTATTTCGCACTTTGCTAATATGGCTTTTGTTGCTATTTCTGTGCGTAGCAAAATGTGCGTGTTATCGCTCACACAAAACTCAATGAGCCGCAGACTGCGCCAAACAAAAACAGAAGCCAATAAATGAGAAATAAACAGAGTAAAACAACAACAACAACAACAACAACAACAAGTGAGTAAATCAAGAGCAACAATAATGGCAACAAATTTCATAGAAAGCGCCAAGCCACCACTACAACCAACACCATCAAAGCGAGTGAATTTTGCCATAAATAGTTGGCATTGTTGTTGCAGCGAGCAAAAGGGGGTAGACGAAGCAATATAAAAACTATTGCGGTGGGTCAGGGTGAAAACGAAATAGAAATCTATGAATAGTTGTGAGCAAGAGAGAGAGAGAGGAGCGGATTCGGAGAACGTCGTCACTGAATGAAATGGAATTTCCCTCTCTGCCCCAACTGATTAAGCAAATAGTGACCGTCAATTGTCGTGTAATTAAATGCAACTTGTCCATGGCTAGCATACACATACACACACTGAGAGCATATTCATTCTGATTATCTTTGGCATGGACAACTCATCAAAGTTGTTGATTCAATTAGTCTGATCAAGATAATTAGACTCCCTTTACCCTCCCTCTCTCTCTTTTGTCAAAGAACTAGATTGCGCATACGCAATGTGACCTCAATCTAGGTATGTGGGTGTCGCTTCTAATTTACTGATTTGCCTGCCTTGTCTGGTTTATGATTATCATCTTCTTTTGCTCCTATTCTGTCTCCTCAGACCCGAAATTCTGCTTATCTCTTGTTGGTGTTCTGGCAGGGAGGAAGCAAGTGCCCGGCTAGCTCAGTCGGTAGAGCATGAGACTCTTAATCTCAGGGTCGTGGGTTCGAGCCCCACGTTGGGCGAAGATAACTTTTTTGTTATCTTTTTTTTCTGTCTTTTAAATTCTCTTAAGAATATTCTTAAATTTAATTCTTTAATAAAAAATAGTAAAAAAAATTCTCTTCGATCCTGCCAGGAGTCGAACCTGGAATCTTCTGATCCGTAGTCAGACGCGTTATCCATTGCGCCACAGGACCGGTTGGCTCCCAGCGGCTTTTAGCTGTTTACTTGCTTAGAAAATTCTTTATATATTTATAAACTAGCTTTGTTGTCTATTCCCATTCATTGATATGAACCGGTCTTGGAGCTACAAGCGATCCCCACAGATCGTATTTTAGGTCTTTTTAGATCTTTAAAGCAATAATCTTATTAAATTGCTATTCTTTTGCTTGAAGAAACTTATTTTAAATATTGTTCTGTCAAAGCACAAACCCAGCACAGAATAATAAAAAGCAAAAATTTATTGGGGTAGACAGGCAAAGTGAGAGAATTGCAAATATTTACCCAGCAATAACAACAAAAATACAAAAAATAAGTTCGTAAAATATAAAAAAAGCAGAAAAAAAAATAATAAAAAGCGAACGGCAACACGTTTTTGCGCTTCACAAAACAAGACACAATGACGATGATTATGATAGGGGCGTGTGTGAGTGGGGGCCGTGCGGGGCGTGGCAACGCTCACGTATAGGAGCAGAGGCGTTGGAGGCGAAGGCGGAGATGGAGCAGGGAGTGGGTCTGGCAGGCGCAAAGCAGACCCAGTCACACCATCAGCAACAACAACAATTCGGCTATACAAAGGCAAAATGAAATTTTGCCAAAAAAAATACAAAAAAATAAAGAAAAACGACGAAATAAAAGTAAAACCAAAATGGCCGACGTCGGCTGCAATTTCGTATATAGAAATTTTCGTCTGGCTTTCAGACAGACAGAGGCCACAGAGAGTGCACCAGAGCGAGAGGGCAGTACGTCTGAGTGAGCTGGGCGCTTAAATGAATTTAGAATGGGAGTCATGAACACTTACTGGCCCCCCCTCTCTCTCCACCTTCTTCCAACCGATGCCGCCCGTCTGTGCCGCCATGCGAGTGTGTCTGTGTTTGTGAGCCTGTATCTTTTCGCTTTCGCATGACACAGATACACATTCGCAATCAGAGAACAAAACGTAGACGACACTCGATAGTGGGACAGAAGCGACAGCGACAGCGCCAGCGATGTCTCTAGCCCTGACCCTAATTTTTGGGTAAACAAGAATTTCGTTTAGGGACAGTGGATACAAATCTAAGGTGATCTAGTCTTGGATTCCATCGCAGAGGTGTCAATGCTCTTCCCAAACTAGCACAATGACCCATAAATACGATTTCGCTGATTGTATATTATGCATTTTGTTTTGTTTTTGATTTCTTGACATCACATGACGCACGCTGCCATTTATCTCTTTTCGCTGTTTAGATATTCTTAAATAAAGTCTTAGTGTTATTGAACCTTTTTCTCCAAGTTGAATTTTTTGTTTTTATTTTTTTTATTGTATTTGTCACTTTATGATGCCGTTTGTCAATGTTGATTTATTGGTTCAAGTTTTATATATTTGAGTTGAATAAAAAAAATTGAAAACTGGTTTGAGGCAGAAATGCAAAGTTGCTAAAAACTAATTGTACCTAATATGCATACTTCTTTATATTGTTGTACTTAATCTGTTGTAGAAAATATATAAATTGTACTTAAAAACACCCATTGACTCAGTCATGCAAAGAATTTTTCCATTTATCCAATTTCACCTACTGTAAATAAACAAACATAAAATGCATAAATGAGGGCATTATCTCAAGGTCGTTCCTCATTGAATTCGGTCCGCTCTATCTATTCACACACCCTCGCACTTGTTTCTGCTTTGGCTCCCACTTTCGTTTTCATTTTTGCTTTTTGTTTGATTTTTTTTCTATTTGCTATTATTTTTTGTTGTTCCATTTTTTTTTTTTGGCAAATAACCTTGATAAAAAGTAAACTATTTTTATCAGCGAGAGTGGAATGGGGCCAATGGCAGCGCAATTTCTGTTTGGGGTTAGTGTGCCAATTAACGATTAGATTATACCGACACTCCCTCCGCCCACGCCACCGATGTGGGTTAATGTGCAAAATAATTTGCGGTCTAGGTATTCCTTCTAATTCCCTCGCTTTTGAGAGGTAAACAAATTAGCTATGCAAATGCCAGGCGATGCTGGTCAAGTGTAAAGTGATCTATAAATACCAAAACTATAATAAACCACACTGGCCGTCTTATGACTCTCATTTGCGTAGATGGTGTGTCATAATACGCTTTCCTCAGAAATGCGTCATCGCTGTCTTGTGTCCTGCTTACTTGGCCTAAACGGATAGCTAAGGGAACTTAGAGTGTAAATGCTGTGGCTAAGTTGGCCCACTTATGCGGGTGTCCCATTGACGTTGGTAGTGTTACGGAACCCTGACCCTATTCGGAGTGCTGCGGGGGGTATTCAGTTACTACACAAATAAAACAAGACAATTGTGTCTTATATTTAAACACAAACATTATTTATAGTTATCTTTTATATTCCATTGTAATATGGGTTTAATATAGGCTTTTTCTTAATTAACAATTCATTTAATCTTTCAATATACAGTCTTTAAGTCGACTTCTCCATTCCCCAATTCCTGCTAATCAATGTAGGCTTCATCATCATCAATATCATCTCAAAATGTCAAGATAGAGGCGGGGAGGGTGGACATAAAGAGAAGCCCCAATTCAGTTCACTCAAATGAACCAGAAATATAATAAAAATTGCATTAAAGAAGCGGCAATAAATCTAAATCAACAAAGTGACAATCTCGCAAATAAAAAACAAAATAAGTTCCAAGTGTGCACATGCAAACGCGTTTTTAATATATACAGCAATTTATGAGCCAGACGGGCAAATGACCCACAAAGTAGCCGCAAAAAAAAGGAAAAATAAAATATATATATATATAAATCAACAAAAAAGGTACACTCGAACAAATGGCAAATATCGAAGAGTGCAAACAAATACAGACAGTGGGGGATGGACAGGCTATGACTAGAACCCGGTCCCTCTAACGTGGTTCCACTGCGTGGCCGAGCATTTAACCTTGAGCCTTCAACTGATTACAAAATTGCAACGATAACTGCCACTGACCCCATGGCAAAGAAAATAAAATACGCGAGCGGAAAGTGGGAGAGTGAAGAAAGCAATCGCTAAATTCTGCCTTGATAAGTCATCGGTCTTTTGCAGTCCCAGTTGGAGCAAACCCAAGGCACATTTTGTCTTTATTTCCTTTACTTTCCACCACATGTTCAGGGGGTTTGGCTAAGCAAAATAGAAACGATTTGGCTTTGGCCAAAAGCACTTAACGGAAATTGAATTCGCAACTCAAATAAATACCTAGTTGACATTTTCGTTTAATATTTTAAATAAATGAAAGATGAACATTAGCTAAATAATAAAAAAAAAAATTTTATTATATAAATATATTATATATATATACTTTTCCGATTTGATCAAAACTTAAAACAAAATACCACTATATTTTTTATTCCTTTTGGATTATTAAAGATTGCAAAATCCTTTTATTAAGCACATTTGAAATATATATATATTTTTGGGGAGTTTTTAGGATTTGATTTGATTTGTAACAACGTTATTTGAAATGCATTTTAACTGAAAAGTTAACTAGATCATGCCTGAAACAATAGAAATGTTGAAACATATATCCGTTTCATAAGGCTTACAACTAACTTACCCTGCAACTTGGCCAGCTGTTCGGTGGTCATAACAATGGGCAGCAACTCTTCGGCACTGTTGACAGCTGTTAAAGTTGGATCAGCGATTGGGCCCATATAGCATTTACGCATCTTTAGATACTGCATCCAGACATTTAGACTCTCTTGGGTGGCTTCAGTTTCGTAGAGATCATCGCCACCCACATTACGATGGTTGCCACCCTTCTGGCCCTCGTTCACGAAGATTTGACGCGTGAGATGGAAGTGGCTATTGCTGATGTAGATGTTGGATGGAGCGGGCGAAGTTTTCTGTTTAATATACAAAAAAAATAGAGTAATAGGTTAAAAGTCTTGATCTCTTGGTCTTATCGCTGTAAATCTTGCAACTAACATAACGACACATTTAGCATTATCTTTAAAACACTTTAGATGTTTTTACAAAACCCATATACTCAAGGGTTTCGACTTTAAATAAAATAAATATCAAACTGATACACAAACCTGTTCCTGCATCACCGTGCGCATTAAATTCTCACTGAGAAAATGGATATTGGACTCGCGCAGCTCTTTGATCGTTTGCTCCAGATTGAGATTCTTTTCGCGCCAGGATTGCACCTGTGCTTCCAGCTGCCGTTTGTCTGTCTCGTACAGCATCAGGGTCTGCTCCCACTCGCAGCTCATCGTGCGGACGTCACAGCAGCCCTTTTGGGGGATCAGTCGCTGGCCCAGGTAGAGCTCCAAGAGTTGCGTCAGCTTAGACAGGGCATAGATGCCGGCGAAGATCCACAGAAAGTTGAGGTACAAGTCATAGGTGCGGGAGCACCTAATGTCCTCATCCTCGCCATTATATCCCATCAGATCCATCTTGGAGCTACTGTCCCAGAGCAGTCCTGCCAGAGTTAGGTTTTTCATATTTAAAATTCTCGTGTTTTATTTTTTAGTCCAGTTTGCTTGTGAGAGTGACGGTGTGATCACGTTTGAATTTGAGAACGAGAAACAGGCAAAGGCATCTCCATGAAACTACTTTCGCAGCCTGTTTGGATTAAGCCACTTACGCAGTTTTTTGGTTCGCCTTTCGATAAGGCCCATGAGCTGGATGCACAGCCAGGTGAACAGGGAGAGAAAAGTGGCCAAGGCCCCGTCGATCAGCTGGTCAGCAGTCGTCTCTTCCATAGTGGGCTAAAAAAAGACACTGAATATTCTAAAATTTTGAAGCATTTTCTTTGCAAATATTTGCTTAGTTTTGAAAGTATTTGGGGCAAAGCCTTCCTAGTCTATTTGAATTTTGAATTAATATATTTTTTTACCTGCTGAAACTAAAGGTAGAAAGCAAGTATAATAGGTTTTTCGTTTTTGATGTCTAAACCTCATCCAATTTTAATCCTCTCACAAATTGAATTCACGTTCCGTCAGTGTCTCGTTCAGATTGGTTGTCAGACATATCACGCTATTAGGGCCCTTCTCCACAATTTCGTTATTTATTCGAGATAATTTCATTAAGTGGCCTGTCTATGTCTATGAAATTATGTTTGATTTAGTTAGTAATTTCGCTTTAATCAGCTTTTTTTTATTTTAGAAGGGGGTCGATTATATTTGCGATACTCTCCCCGAAGAGTTATAGGTATTTTTGGCTGATTATATCACGATAAACATAAGCTTTATTAACGAAATTTCATGGGACTCTAGATTCAATTCACATGCCGTTACGCATCTTGTTTATAATATTTTCTTTTTACTAACTAACTTTATATAAACTACACTTAACCATAATTAGCAAGGGTATCACCACTATTGTGGTCTTGAATAAGTTGATTTTTCTTTTTTTATTTGTTATACTAATTTTCGGTAGCCAGATATGGGGATGGGGCAAGGGTCAGTGGCTGTTGTTTATGTGCGTGTGTTGGCTCTGGGGGCTTTCCCACTGCGTTGACTTAATTAGGTAAAACTCGGCGTTTAGCGAGCAACCAAAATGAGTAAGAGCCACAGCAACTGCGTCGCGGCTCGTTCAATGAACTGGCTGGTAGGCGTGTGTGATTATTCATATATAAATACCATATATACACATCCACGAGTGTGTGTGCTTGCATTTAAGAGTGCAAAGGCAACATCTGCGCCGCCTAATTTCGTGGGCTGGTGACAGTTCACTGGAATTGCCTACAGTCATGCAATAAGCTTTAAATCCGTGTATAATGATAAATAAAGAACTCATTGAGTCTTGATCAAATGATTTGAAAGCATCTAATCAAAGTAGAAAGTCAAGTTCAGGGCAAATTGGAAAAAGAGAGAGAGAATTCTCTGCACTAATTAATTGTTTGACATGCATACAAAAAAAAGCTGCTACAGTTACGCAGCAGACTTAACACTTGATTAAATATGTGCAATTTAAAAATAATTTACACGCGTTGCCTGCCCCTACAACTAAGTAGTTCGGGGGATGAGTGTTTTCGTAGGGTGCAAAGCAGATTGTGTTGTGGCAAGTGCTTTGCTATTTCTGTAACCATAAGCTTTTTCATCGGTCAACCCTGTCAGCGTCAGTGGCACAGGAATAAAAGAAAAAAAAAAAAATAAATTAAATCTGAAGCGCGTGTTGCACTTACACCACTTACAGCTAGGCTAGAGCAACAAGTGCTTGGTCGCCGATGCTATTGCTGCTCTGTCCCTTATTGCGTTTCCATTTAACTGGGCAGGAAATCGTTATCGATAACTGGCGCGACAAGGCCACGCCCCCCCACAGGCGCTGCTTGCTGCTTCTCTGCTTAGTATGCAATCGATGGGACTGCCTGTCAGTTGGCATTACGCTTCGGAGTAATGCCAGGCAGCACCCCCCCGGAGGATGCCAGACTCATTTCTGGGTCTGCTATAATGCCAGCAATGCCTCAAATTGTCACTCCTAATGAAAAAATGTCACGCATGTCAGCATAAATCACAAAATATATATTATGCTAATCGGTAGAACACAGTGAAAAAATAACAACTTACCTGTTTTTTTATAATATTATTTAAATCAGTTAAATATTGTATTAAGTCCCAGTAAGTTTCATATTATTTTTAAGGATTGTATGGCGGAATCAAAGTGACTTCACAAAATTATTTGAATAAAATGCCAGACAGAACTAAATTTGTCGCAAACTTGGGTGTCTTAATAATATATAAATAAATAAGCCAAGCTAAGCAAACCTCGCTAAATATATTTTCTCAACATTGTTCAGCTAAGCCCCCTCTCTACGCCACTGGCGCGACAAACGTTTGTGGTTTTTATCATTATACATATTTTATTTAACTTTTTATTTTTCGTAGACAGCCCCCGTCAAGTGTCGGTTGGCAATTTTCAAATTCAATTTGCATTTCGCATTCATTTCTATATGCCGTGTGTGTCAAGTCGCACAAGCAAATAATAAAGACTTTATGCTCTGTCCAGACTTTGGATAAGTGAAGCCTGAGAAATAACTACCTCAATTCTGTAAAGACTGACTCCCAATCATTATATCAAAATGCAAATAACTGGAGCTTAGACTCTATTCCAAGTTATGGAAATTGCACGCTTGACAGGCGTGAAACGCTTAACTCAGTCAAGGTGTTTCCGTGCCCAATGAAAAGCGGAAAAATATACATAGTTATAGATAACACAGAGAGCTAGAGACAAAAGTGTTACAAAAATGTGTTAAGCGGTAAGTTTAGGTTAAGAATTGCTGCTAATTTGTTGTCAATGAATCGGGTTGATCAATGAAATTAAGGCAGAAAAGACCTTCAATAGAATGGCTAAAAAGAGGTGATAAATTAATATACATTTAATATTCTATTTATCATTATACCTATGATAATTAATGATTTCATCTTCCTTTTATTTTCTTTGCAGGTGAGTTAAAAAAGCATTTAAGAAGAAGAAGTGCACTTTATCTTCGCTTTAAGGTAAAAGTAAAACTTCAACTTTTTTATGATATAAAAAATTACTTAAAATTAAATTGCACTGTTAAAAACCCATTTAAATGTCAAAATACAGTAAAATAGACAATATACAGATACAGAAAATAAAATATATTAAAGTAAACTGAATAGAAGTGCAGGTATTCAGGAAAATAAAATCAGTACACATTTGGAACCCTCGTAATGGGTCTTGATAATAAATAAGGAAATGCATTAGGACATTGTTGGGCATAACTGATAGCAATTTGAATATATGTATGTATCTACTTAAGTCAAAAAAACACTTATTTTTATGGACCATATTGTTCTAATGGAAAATTTTAAGGGTGCTTTAAAATTTGTGGGTAGCAAATCCCTTGAGTTAAGGCACAATTTTTCTTTTTGCATTTGCATTTGAGCGATCTAACCCACTGTGCCTGAGCACTAAATTTTTCAGCACCCATTTACAGCAGTGCCATGTGGCTGACAATATGTACAGCGACCAACTCCGGCGATGCCTCTCCTTCGATCCGCCGACTACTTCCCCATTAACCATTCAAAGACGCTTATCGGCAAACAACCACCGACGTTTGACTATTTGCCCACAGTCGCGCGGTGTCTTGCGCCTTGTGTTCCTTTTTGCCCACGAGCGGCCTCAGCCCACTTTTGATGTCGTCGTTGTTAGACCAACAGCCCAACCGCCCAACCGCCCAACCGCCCGACTGCCCGCCTGCCTGATTCTCCCTTGGTCTCTTTACTCTACCTAATACTCCGTTTATGCAAAGAATTTCATGAACTCTTTAGTACTAGAAATCAAAGTGACCCAGAATGAAATACTACAGTGTTCAAAGAAGTTCCTATTTCGATATTAATTTAATGATTTTGAATTTAAAATCTACTTTGAAATGGTCTTTCTTGAATTGGGCCTCGCATAACCGCAATATTTTCCTCTTGGCTTTGACTACCTCAACTGCAAGACGTCGCCACGCCATTGAACGGCATTAAACCTGACTTTGCCAACTTTTCGCCCTGTCTCTTTCTAACCCTGGCTCTGTCCTACTCGTTCTGTCCCTGTCTCTGCCTCTTTGTGACACCCGATTCAAAGTCAAATCATACCAAAAGGCAACCCGAACCGAACCGATCCGAAGCGAACCACGCCAAACAAGGCAAACCAGACTGGCAAAAGAAAACTCAACAAATTTTTAATATATCCGTACACTGAAAAAAAAATCAAAATCAGGCATTTGTGTGTTCAATATTTATGCAGAAAAAATAAAATAGATATTTTATTTTAAAAAGAACGCCGCCCTTTCAAACCCTTGCAAAAGGTTACAACTTAAGGCCGAAGTTGGCAAGTTTCTCAGTCAAAAATAAATTTTAGCGTTAATAGCCGAGTTGATCTAGAAAACGAAATCTAGTCTCAAAGGCTTAAAACTATTTAGAAAAAAGGTTTCAAATTGTTTTCTGTCCATTGAATAGAAATTGATTATATTATCATTTTTGCATAACGAATTATATTTTATAAAAATCTGCCATAAGAATAAAAAAATAATATAAAAATGTACATAACTACAATATTTTTTAGCTTTTATAGTCAAAACAAATGTATAAAACTCCGGCTTACCGAACTTTCCTTCCCAATTTCAATTGATACTTTCTTCTTTTCTGCCTGTGTACTTGTGGCAGAGTCTCTATGCATCCATCCACAAGGTGCAGGGGCAGTGTTACGGGGGTGCACCGATGCAGAGTGTTGTGGAGCAGATTGCTGCGGCCTGTCTATGGGCAAGACAGCAAAAAACAAGACAAAAACAAGAGCAAACACACAGGGAACGCCAGCGCTGTCGGTCTCTCGTTCAGTGGATTTGTGTGTCTTCGCATAAATTTTGCAGCTTGTACGACAGGCATGTAGACAAGTTTTTCTCCTTTGTTATTGCCTTTTTACTAGCCAGCAGCTATCTCGCTCTCGACTCCAAGTGCACACAGACAGATACGCGAGCGGCACACCAGATGGCGGGGAGAGCTCAGTGCACAGATACATAATGTATCTGTGGGCTGCAACAACTGTTGGTTTCGGCTTAAGAGCTGTATCCCATGGGATAAGTTAAATTAGATTGAACTAGTTCCGACCTAGAGTAAACCAATTCTAATTGGATTTGGGGAAACTAGTATCTTATCTTTTATCCTACGAGAATGAGATCTTCATTAGCCAACTAGAATAGGTTGCTGATTAATATCTACAAAATAAGGGATGCTGGGTAACCAATTCTATCTATGATTTGTTGTTGTAAGCTCGCGATCGCGGTTTTAAAGCATCTTTTCCTCCTCTCTAAGACCAAATGTAAGTAAGATAAGTTTTGTAAAGTTTCAATGATCGCTGAATGCATGCAACGACCGTTTGGGATGACTTGCCGGTGTTTCCCTTAGGAAAGCTAATAATTAATCAATAGGGAGCTAAGATATCCTAGAGAGACTAGAGACTATAAACAAACGTTCAGACAGACTTTTCTGTGTTTTTTTTTTTGGGATAGGTCTAGTTTTAGGAAGTCTAAATATTTTTTAAATAAATCAACTATAAAATTGAATAGTAAATAAGAGAGTGAATCATACTGGAAAACAGAGTATCATGCATTTGCTGATTTCTTTGTTTCTACACGTATCATTTGTTTTGTCTAGTAGGGTATTTCACGTGCTCTGTGGCTCATTGGCATGTTTCCACTATATGTCATCCGACTATTTCTATTTTCTACATTCTGCTTCTTTCATTTGCCGGCGAACTACCCCAACAAACGCCATGCACATGACTCCCCTTCCCTGCCACCCCAGTCCCCACTACCCGCGGCTAGACAAACTCTCTCGCACAGATAAACGATACTCACACACACACACACACAGATACGGCAATGAAGTCAGATACAGATACATGTTGCACTCACACTCTGAACGCCTGCTCCAGTGTACTACTGAACTGAGAATCGTTTGGCAGTCGGCCAAAAGGGGACAGGGACGTGGGAAGGCAGGGAGCAGCAGGATGGAAGGGAGATGGAGATGGAGAGAACATAACAGAGGCAGCTGTGTTTGTATTGGTATCCCCCCATCCCCCCCAAAACGGCACATCAAATAGAGGAACTAAGAGAGTGAGAGAGAAATAATGGGCTATAGCCACCCCCCTTCCTTTGCCCCATCCACTGCGTTCCCTCTACTCAGCTGTCACTGTTGATATTTTGTGTTTTCATCTTGAACTTTTGTGGTTCAATGTGTCTAGCCAACCCCAACAGCGAAATTCACCACAGCTCCCACCCCACACTACCCCCCACCACACCCTCCACCCACATCAAACGCACACCCCTGCGCTAATGCCCTTGCCTTTTGCCGGCTTTTCAATGCGTATGCGTAAAGAGAGAGAGAGAGAGTCTCTCTCTGATTCTCCCTCTCTCTTTCGCTCTACCTCTCTTTCTCTCTCTGCTCAATGCGGTTCTCTATTGCATTCTACACTTGAACTTGCCCAGCGTCAAACACGAAGCACACATAGACACACCAAGCACACAGACACACACTGCAGTGAGTCAGGTGGCGATGAGCTGGGGGGGGGGGGAGTGGAGCAAAGAAGGCAGTACAATTATCTGCAGCGGTGTGTGCGTATCTGTATCTGTATCTGAGGATCTCGATTCGCGGGTCTGTTACTTTTTAACCACAATGTATTTTAAATGTGCAATCTATACGTTACGTACGTGTACGCAGTACTTCTCATAGATACGTGAATACGTTGCTAGCAGTATTTTCTGTGTGTAATGCACTGTCGATCTTTCCTCTGGCTTTCCATTAATTACGCCTCAACAACGCGTTGTTGAAAAATTCTTATTTGATTCTAATTACCCTGTTGGGTTATCTTCGGTAGCGACTAAATTTGGGATTGCACTTCTCAATCTCTTATGTCTAATTATTATTCATTCAATTATTTCGACTCATTGCTTTACGATTTTACCTTAGACCATCAGTAATATTCAATTCTTAAACATTTTATTCAAATATAAGTGAAACTTCTTGTATCTTTGGACTTGATGAATTCATCTTAATCTGGTTTTAGTTCAGATATCAGAGTTTCTTAAGTTTAAAGCGCAATTTTGGTTAGGAAACTAATATTTTCATCATCATTACACTCAAAACAGTACTATTCAGTTTACAGATAAACGATATTTTCGATAAATATAAATCATAGAGAGTTTTAATAAGATTCAAGTAAATTCACATTGTTTTACTTTTTCAATAAGTGTTCTGTTTAACAAAAAAGAAAATGTAAAATATCATAATAAGTAAATGTAGTACTTTGTATTTTATAGTTCTAGGAATACGTTTCACATATAAAAAATCACATTGAATAGGAATTCTGACGATAACCCTTCTCATTCGCATCGCGAATCACTCATCTAGTAGTAAGACCCCAGCTTTTCCGACTGTCTAGACCCCATTTTCCATTTCACTTTTCGCCACCTTTGCCCCACTGTGCCAGCATTTCGAATGTACGTGTGAATTTGCACTTGTGCACCCGAAAGTAGCGACGAGAAATCAACGAAAAAAACACAACAAATAAGTGAAGAAAACAGAAAACGGAAAGCGAGGAACGAAGAAAGGGAGAAGTGGCGAGAGGAAGGCAAAGGAAAGCGATGATGGCACTCGCACGCATACACCAAACAGTTGGGTTGCTCACAAGCACACAGATACAACAGCTCACAGACACACAGATACAAATGACGTGACGTGATGGAGAGCGGACAAAGAGAATCTCACGATTGCATCGGCATTTTTCATTCAAGCCGCTCGCTCAGTGTGCCGCCGCGGTGTATGTGTGCGTGTGAGTGTGCGCTGTCTGCGCCTCACATTTAACTTTAGCGTTGATTCCGCTTTCGACTCTGACTCGCCCCTCGTCGTCGCCTCCGCTTCTTTCGCTAGCTGGCGTGGTTGTGTGAGTGCGGGAGCGAGAGTGGTGAATTCGCTCGCGTCGACTCGACTGAGCGACGCCGACGACTGAGAATTTCACGTTTAATATTTTGCTCGTTTCGCTCAGTGATTAAGTATTTGTTTGGACTTTGTTGCTAACGGTTGTTGTTCGCTCGCACGTTCGTCGCCCGATCGCGTCCGTTCGCCTCAGTCGCGCATCGGTTGAAAGATACAAAATACAAAACATCAGATACCAGATACAAGATACAAGATACAAAGTCTACCAGAACGGTTTCCCAAAAAAAAAAATATAATGTTTAAAAACGCATATATTTATACAAAATCGTTGGAAAATTCCCCCAAATAATACCAATCAAAGATACACCCGACCCCAACCAATACCCCCCATACACACAGAAACAACAAGTGCAATTCGTCGTCAGAAATCGAAATCGAAATAAAGTGCAAAATGCATTGTAGCTGAACCAGAAATAAATAAGAGAAATAAGAGGAAACAGTGCTTTAAATAACTCAAATCGAGAGCGTATATTCATATTTGTACAGATATTATATAGTGGACGTCCAAGTTAGCTGAGAATTCCCAGCAATTTGAATGAAATTCGGTGAAAGCGAGAGAATCGGAGAAGGCACGGCTCGAAATCAAACGTCAACAACAAAGCGGCGACGTCAGCAGCGCAGCAGCGGCGCAGACATTTGTCTAGTCGCCGTCTGTGGAACGCCCCCGCTACCCGCTGTCCGCGCACGCACATCCTGGAGCATCCAGGAGCGGTAACCAGCTCGAGGACAGTAACTTAGAAGTGCGTGAGTGAACAAAGATACGTGGGATTTGTGCCCGAGATCCCCCGATTAAAGTTAAAGTGACGGTTACGGTTACGGTTAAAGTGAAAGGATATTTTCATACACATATTAATATATATAGATATATATATTTATACCTGGGATTATTACCCCCTGCTCGAAAGGATTGTGACCCATGGATACTTGTGGATTAGTAGCAGAACTGGCGCACTATATTGATGCATATGGTGAGTGCGCGGGGCCATTTTTGACTTCCCGATAGCAACATTTTGTGGTCAAACTGAGCAACAAGTTCGCGTCTTTGGAAAACTAAAGCATTTTCGTAACCATTTCCCTCGACCCTAATGTGTTTTCATATCTTGACTCACTTGTCACCTCGTGTGAGCGAAAACATTTTCATTTCCATTTCCACATCCAGCCGAAAATAAAAGAAAACTACTTTCAATGCCAAGATACACACATCATACACGCTGCGTACATAGATTCGGGCGCTATATGATGTCCCAGGGAGATACACATGTTCGATTGGTAATACATTCATTATTGTCATGCCAACTGACAGGCAGGCAGGCGGGCTCAGGCCAATTGAAGAGTGAATGCTGAAAATTGTAAAAACTCGCCTGCGTAAAAACATAAATAAATATGTGCGTATATATTGCTCTCTAATGTATATGGCTTGGATCCTAGGCAAGCACTTGACTGCGTAATTGCCGTGGATATCCATAAATTCGCCAAGCATATTGATAGTTAAGTGGGCATTGATGGCATTCGTATTGGGGCAGCTGATTTACCCTGATTTACACAAACATTCCCTTGATGAGGTTCAATTTGGTGTAAACAATTTCGATTTGTCAAGTGCGTACAGAGTATATATAGGTTCGAGAACCATTTGAAGGAATCCAGTTAATTGAAGGGAGTTGGGGAAATCAATTTCACAAGTGGAAAATTGGGAAAAACTTG